TTTCTGTACATAAAGTTAGCCTGTATCCCAGAAAATGGAGTCCTAGACTCTTGGAGCTTCAGACCCCTTAGATTTAAAAATCCCATATTCATTAAGTTGTCTGAGACCTCTTATGGGATTCAATCCAGTTAATTATGGGATCCAATTCAATCCTGGATCCCAGTTCAGTAAAAATTGCTCAAATAAATTTGGAGAGCAAAAAGTAAATCTGTGGCGCTCAAATCTGAGGAAGAACTTACCCATGACCCCAGTTACTGCAGGATAACAAGGGGCACAATGGGCCTGACAGCTACCTTTGATCTCTCAGTGCTCCTGGGAGTCACTGTTGGTCTACTTTGGATCCCACTTTTGACACAAGATTGTTAAAAGGAAAACTAGACAAATTAAATTTAGCAGAGTTTATTTGAGTAAAGAGTAAGTCAGGAGTTGCTAAAAACGTCAGAAGCAGAAGGAGTTCAGAGAGCTTCCCACAGCAATGTGAACAGGCAGTGTTTATAGGCAGAAAAAAAGGAAGAAATACGAAGAAACAGCTTGATTGGTTACCGTTCATCATTGGCTTTATTTGAACATAATATGGTCAGTTGGCACCTTGTGATTGGCTAAAACTTGGCTACTATCATTGGCTGAAATTTGGTAACTTATTAAAGGAGTACATTTTTAATTTAGATTGCAGTTTGTTTACATAGTAAGTTAAGTTGCAGTTTTAACACTGTAAAACAATGTGAAAATTGCAATGATACTCTGTTATTAAGGATCTTGCTTTTGTCTTATGGATGAAACCATGGAAATGTGCAAGAAATTGATTGTTTTTAAACCCTGCAAATTAAGTCTCACAACTTACATATATAAAATGCACAACCTGTGGAAAAAGAGATGATGAAGTAGCTCCCTATGTCTATGCATTGATTTAAATTAAAAATATATTTATACTCTAGCTTGCTACAGAAAGCATTGTAAGAGGGTCTTGTTAATTACAGTATTCTTATGAAAATAATCACTACTCCATAACTCAAAATCTAGTGTTTTTCTCAATTTTCCAGGATTGAGAAATAGAGATAAGTCAAGAAGACCCTGTGAAGGTCATAGAAAAATAGAATAGGTCTGAAAATTGAATCTATAATCAACTGATATGATGCAATGTAACTTTAGTATCAGATCATTGGTACCAAATGAAAGTTACTAACATTCATCATTCAACAAATATCTGTTGTGTATGTTTGTAATGTTTCAAGTACTACTGTAGACACTGAGAATAAAGCAGTGAACAAGACTGATATGAACTAAATATTTTTGTCTTCTAAAATTCATAGGTGAAAGCCTTAATACTCAATGTGATGGTATTTGAAGGTGTGTTCTTTAGGAAGTTTTTAGGTAATGAGGGTGAAATCAGAAAGAATGAAATTAGTGCACTCATAGGAAGAGACAGAATAGAGATGATCTTTCTTTCTGCTATGTGAGGACACAGCAAGAGGCTGGCCATCGGCAAACCAGAAGGGCTCTCACCAAGCAAATAAACTAGCACCTTGTTCCTGGACTTTTCAGCATCCAGAACTGTGAGAAATTGACATTTATTGTTTATGCCACCCAATCTATGGCATTTTGTTATAGTACTCACATGGAATAAGAGAAAGGCAGACAAAATCCCTATTCTCATAAAACCTACAAGAGATATTTATAGGCTGTACATAAAAATCAGATAATGACAAATATTCTGAAGAAACTGAAATTGGGAATGGGATAGAGACTCATTAACATAGGTAACCTAACTGAGTTAGCAGAGAATGACATGCATAGTCCAGAAGAAAAGGGATCTATGCAGAGGATACAAGAGGTACGAAGACACAGAAATGAGGGTAAGCTTGTAGAAATACAGAAACACAGAGAAATTCAATTTACTGCATTTGGATTACAGAGTGTAATTGGAAGTGTAGTCACAGCTAATATCACAGATTTGGACCCAAGAAAAGATGATATAGTGCCTGGAAGTCCATAGAAGAATAGTATAATTTATAGAATACAATGATAACTTAAAGAAGGATGCAACAAGACCTGTCTTAGGTTTACAAAGATCACTAAGACCCCCAGATGGGGAATAAATCATATGGGCATATAATAGAAGCAGGAAGCAGTTTAAAGTAAAGGGGTTATGGGATTTGATTTCAGGCAGTCACATAAAGATAGAGAACATTGGAACTTGCTCTAGAAATTTTCTTTCTCAGCCTCCACATAATGATATCCTCATTTCATACTGCTTCTATAGGTTTATCCCCTTTTAACTTTGATTTTGGACAGGCAAATGCCTTTGTTAGCATATGCCAGGCAGCCCAATATGTGTATAGAATATATAAAATTCTTACACACAAGTTTTAGATAAAAATGGCTAGCAACTTGATGCATTTTCAGATTGATATACTGGTTTCTCTTAATTAATTGATGTTAAAGAACCATTAAATATAAACCATTGTGATGGTGGTTGTTATTTTTAATTTGGAGAATAATAAAATAACTATTACAAATAATAGTGAAAAAATATATGATATTATACATGATTTCTATTCACTGTGAAATAGAAACTTAAAACTATCTTATTAAATGCCTAAAGATGTATTTATTTTCTGAACTTACCATATGGTACCATCATGACTTTGTCCCTGTGCAATCATTTTGCCCCGTATCTGTGAACCGATCAATCTATTGCAGTGAGTCTCAGTAGGGGTGGCCTGGAATAGGAAGAGCAGCAGCAGTTCTTGGGAAGCAGCATTCGGTCTCAGATTCACTTTTGGAAACAACTTGACAAGTGCATGTTTCTGTCCCAAATTGATCTGTCAATTTAGATCACTGATGCTAAAAGCCAGAAAACCAAAGTTATCAGGAAATCTCAAGTAAATTAGAACCATATCCTCCAGCCAGAAATTCTCTTATCCCTCAGCAGACAAAGCTAACGTTCCAGGAGTTTAACTATTGAGTTGGTAAAGGAAATGTCACATCCTGAATTCTGCTGGGAAATATGGTAAGCTGAATCTACAAAACGCACTATTTAGAGCAGACTTTTAAAGACACGGTTCATGAAAGTAACTTTGGGTGCAATTTGTAAAAACAATAATCTCACTAACAGTCAATGAGTGTTCTTTGTTACCTTTGTTTTTCTTTTTGAATAACGATTGAAAGCTTTCATATAACTGTCTCCAATAGGAATGGATATTGAAATATCAATTAAGTAATGAAAATATAATCCAATAAACAAAAACTTATTAAAATTTCTGCTCCCTCCTTTTTAAAAATATTTGGGTTCTGGCATACTGTTGTGACATTCATGTTTCCCTCCTCTTCATGGAAAATTACCATACTTATTTTAAATGATCCTGTCTTTTAAAGATACATATTCTCTATGTCCAAAACCCATGATAAAAGTATTTTATAAGAAGTTCAATATAATACCCACTGCATTTGGGTGCAGTAGATTAGAATGTTCGCAGGGTTGCTTCCTAGGTAATTAGGTGAAATGATATGTGGTTAGAGAAAAATCTATACTGATTTGAAAAGAATGAGTAGTGGATATGTAAAGGAGATTGGTTTCTTTATACTGTCCTCCTTATCTCCATACTAGCCATAAAGTAATGATGATTCTAGGGCTATACTCTTTGAATTTAGAAAGTCAGTTGTTGTCTTTCTTTGAGAGAAATGTTAGGAGGTAGCAAAGATATTTTCCTTTTCTGAGGAGATCAAATCTCTAAAAAGGCACCTGGAATATCAACTTCTAAGCTGGCCAGCAGCTCCAACATTCAGGGACTAAACAGGGTGCAAAAGATACTATCTGAAATGATTCTATCTTGGTAGACAAAGAAAATGGCTGAGATAACATTAGCAGGGTGTACTTTCCAACAACTGCAAAGAAAGAGCAAAGCCATGTAAAAAAAAAAAAAAAAAAAAACAAAGCAACCACACAAAAACAACTCCTGTATGGATCAGCTTCTCTGGAGGAAGGATACTAACAGCAAAGGAAACGGGTAGAACTTGCAAAGGCATTGGCAGAAACAATCAACTGAAGATGACAATATTGAGATTGAAATCGCTGTAAGTTATGTAAGCTTTTGTTTTGACAGGCAAAACCCTTGTTAGCATATGACATGCAGTCCAACAGGTATATATTCCAAATTGGACTGCATGGCATAAGCTGACAAGGGCTTTTGCCTGACAAAAACCAAAGTTAAAAGAGGGAGATCCATAGAAGCAGTTAGAAGCTATTTTCCCTTAAAAGACAAATGGAAGCAAAGAGGTATACTGCCGTGTGCTACTTTCAGTTCTGCATATTCTGAGTTAGATGTCTATCCTCTATGTTTTGTTAGCACTGTGTAATATACTTACCACTTTTTATCATATGTGTTGGTTTACCTCCCTCTCTATTCAGATTTGAAACAGACTGATAGCAAGATGAAGTCTATTATTTCTTTATCCCCAGCGCCTAGCAAAGATCTGAAATCTATTATCGACTATCTGTCAAATAAATGAGCCAGGTTTAACACTATTTTCCTGAGAGAGACAAAGTAATCAACTAAACATCCCAAACCAAAATAATATGTGTTACTCTTGGGTAAAATCGGAGGAAATATGGAAGTACATGAAGTTGATATTGATTCCAATTAAATACAAAGAAGTTTGACACTTTAATTAGCTACAGATAAATGAAGCCTTATAGTTAAATGATGATTGTGTAAGAGATATTTTAAAATACTCAAACTCTTTCAAGAGTGCTTTCAGATAACTTTACTGATTTCTAACTGGAAGCCGTTGATCCAGAACTCAAGAAAGCATTGAGGATCAAGGGTTGGAGTGTTTCTGAAGCTGGACTAAAGCTGAGCTTATGAGTGAATGACTGTTCAGATGATGCAAATCTCAGGATAGAAAAGCTGTCAACAATAAAAAACAAGACAAGGACTTGTACATCACAGTTTTTATAGTAAAATGGTATATTATGTACACTTCTGTTTACTGCATTTCAGACATTGTTGTCGAAGAAACACAAAGATTTGTTGAACATTGCACCTGCAAGCCGGTGATTGCCCCAAGGTGAATCCACTTATTTTAAATGGCTTTATTTATAGTTAACATAGTGATTAACACCACAACTTGATTAGGGAATATCTATTGGAAAATAACTACTATATGTATCTGAAGTATAATAATCTGTGTTTATAATGACCATGATTCAAAAAAGCATATTCTGAAATTGATAGGTCACGGTGATCAATGGTCTAGGTAGAGAAATTGGAGAACAAAAGTAGTTTCAAGAAACAAGTAAATGAAAGAGTGAGCCTAAATATGCAGACCTTACCTTTGAAAGAGTAATAGAAACAATCTGTATAATTATTAAGAGAACAAATGAAAGGCAATTGAGTGACAAAATTCGAATTTCCTTTTTAAAGATAGAAATGGTACCCTAAGTGGCTGTTTTGATCTATAGAATAATAAGTAAAACTCTTTCTCACCTTCCTTTTGGATAATTGTGGAACAAAGAACTGAGAACTCTAGGAAGTATATGGTACAGTGAAGAAGAAAAATGTTACCTTCTTATTTGTACCAAGCTACATCTTTTATGCTCTTGCTTCATTTACTTCCTCTTTAATGACTAGGCCTGCCTTTGAATATTCCGTCACTGATGAATAGAAAATATAGAATCTTTTATTAAAACCACGTTGAGAAATATAGATTAATCGGCTTAAGTTTAGTTTGATTAAATATGGGGCCAAAAAGAATTTCATGTGTCCCAAAACCCGATGCCGATGCTAAGGATATTAAGAATTTCAAAAATTGCTAAACATATCGTAGCTTGGACAACATGACTGACAATATAAGAATCATATTGGGGCCAGGCACGGTGGCTCACGCCTATAATCCCAGCACTTTGGGAGACCGAGGCGGATGGATCACGAGGTCAAGAGATCGAGACCATCCTGGTCAACATGGTGAAACCCCATCTCTACTAAAAATACAAAAATTAGCTGGGCATGGTGGCGCATGCCTGTAATCCCAGCTAGTCAAGAGGCCGAGGCAGGAGAATTGCCTGAACCCAGGAGGAGAGGTTGCGGTGATCCGAGATCATGCCATTGCACTCCAGCCTGGGTAACAAGAGCGATACTCCGTCTCAAAAAAAAAAAAAAAAAAAGAATCATATTGAAAGATAACTGTGTCAAAAGTTGTGACTTTTTATATTAATATTTTTCCTTAATAGAAAGAAAATAATTCCTTTGGCTAACGAATACTGATAAGATTATGGCTTTGAAGGTATTACTAATGGGAACTCACAAAATAGAATTATCTTTAGTTTCTTTTACAGATTTTTTATCATAAGGGGGGTATCTGACTTTAACAAAATATAATTGTTTAATTATATAATTATTGTAAATCCCATTAAGTGCTATCTGCATTCAGAGAAAAATAATAAAAAAGTTTTTAATATTATATAATCTTGGTGGATAAGAAATGTGAGTTCTTCTAAAAATTATATCCACAGAATATCATCAGTTTTGTTAAGCCATATGTTCTTCAATTGTAGACAAGAACTAGGAAAAGTCTACTAATGCAGGGTTCTTATGCATACCGATAGTATTTGAACATCAGAGAATTGTAGTGTCATATTTGAACACAATGTTTAGATCAAAAAGGTCCATACAAATGAAAAATTGAGAATCATTTTTGAAACTAATAAATAAAGGTGTTAGAGAAGCAAATGGTGAATGTATAGGTCCTTTATGAGTTTATTTTGTACTAACATGGCTTCTTATTACTTAAGTAAATCTAATTTGAAGGTAATCAATCTAGTATTTAAGATCATTGTATATTAAGATCATTCTATTATTTAAGAATTTAGAATTTGTGGATTATGTTAAATCCAGATATTTACTCTTCAAAATGCTACTGTCCTCAGTTTGAAGGACTGTAATTATGTCAAAGCAAAGATTGCACTGGGAAAAGTTAAGCAGGAAAAAATAAATAAATAAAATAACCTCTACTACTGCAACAAAGGAAAGAGATCAGAAAGCGGTCTCAACTCAGCCCTGCTGAATGTTTCCAAAGGAGAGCTCTCAAGAATCAGGTTCTTGGTAAAGATATTCCTGATTTGAACAACTGGCAAGAAGCTTAAAAAAAAAAAAAAAAAACTACATCTTAAAGGGACAAAGAAAGGATTTACACGTTTTGTCATTATTGTTGTTGTTTTTGAGACAGTCTCATTCTGTCACCCAGGCTAGGGTGCAGTAATGTCATCTCAGCTTACGAAATCTCTGTCTCTTAGTTTCAAGTGATTCTTCTGCCTCAGATGCCTGAGTAGTTGGGATCACAGGCACATGCCACCATACCCAGCTAATTTTTTGTATTTTAGTAAAGAGAGGTTTTGCCATGTTGCCCAGGCTGCTCTTGAACTCCTGACCTCAAGTGATCTGTGCATCTCAGCCTACCAAAGTGCTGGGATTACAGGCATAAGCCGCTGCCCCAAACTGGGATTTACAGGTTGTATAAAGGCTCTAAGGGAGGAAAGAGACTTTTGTGGTTAGACCATCTGGATTCTATATGGGTTGGGATGAGAGGGAGGTCGGAGACCTAGCGGCAGGAAGAAACTTATATAAAGTTTAGTCACGCTCAGGAAAACATTCAGGTTGTCTTGATCAATTGTAAGATTTGTAAAAATTCCAAAATGAACTTCATCGTTGATTTGATCGTATGTAGTTTGCTGTTTTTTAAAGTATAAATTAATAGCATAATACTTTATTAACTTTAATAATGTGATTCTTACTATATATGTATTTTTATATTCCATGTAGACATTATTTTAAAATATCTTCTAGTGATTTGGATAAATTGCAAATGTTCATTAATTCTTCATTTTCAGAATAACAAGGATCAAAGTTCATAAAATTGCTTTTATAAAATACTAGATATACTCTAGTTTTGCCACCTTGAATCCTACATATCACCTATATAAGTTATTTCAGGATTGGAAGAATTATTTAATATATTTGTAGTACTCATAATTGGATATAGTATATGTCATAATTGTGTTAGTAACCTTTTGTTTTCTTTCTTGTTCATGCTGTTTTCTCCTTCCTCCTTCTTTATTTGAATGTTATTGTATCTTTGTTGTTGTAATCATTGTCGTCATCATATTCAATGCCTGATAAACTTGAATCCATTCTTCAAAATGCATAGTGTAGAACACAAGGATACAGGGAAGGGAACATCACACACCAGGGCCTGTCCGGGAGTCAGTGGAAAGGAGAGAAAGAGCATTAGGACAAAAACCCAAAGCATACAGGGCTTAAAACCCAGATGATGGATTGATAGATGCAAGAAACTACCATGGCATGTGTATATTTATGTAACAAACCTGCATGTTCAGCACATGTATCCCAGAACTTAAAGTAAAATTAAAAACAAAAAATAAGCAGAGTGTAAGGAAATAGTCTTTGGCATTTGATGCATGGAAAATCTCACTGTAAAGGTAATTAATCTATGTGAGCCTCTCTTCACATCTATAATGAGTGTAACTAATTATTTCATTAAGTTGCAATGATTAAGTGAGCTAAAAGAAACCAAACAGAAATAAAGAAATAATCCAACATAGAAGAGGGAAAACCGAGACCAGCATTTGTTTTCTGTTTAAATGCTGGTCTCGGTTTTCCCTCTTTTTTCTATACCTGTGAAGAGTTTTTAGATTTTACATTACTATTTAGCCCTCCTACTAAATACTTAAAATTCAGTTTATAATTCTCTTTTTACATTCAGCACCATAGAAAAGTACCTGGCATATGGCAGTTATTTGGCAAATATTTATTAAAAAGGAAGGAAAAGAAATTGAGGTAAAGTGAACGTTTTGTTTATTCATTTTGTGGTTTGACCATATATTGTAGGAGTGCGTACTGCCAGAGGCTGAAAATGAATATGAGATATGCCAATATGAAACTTAAAATATAGTCTTCAACTGTGTGTACCTCATACCTTTCACATAATATATCTTCAATAAAAGAAGGAGGAAGGAATACTGGGAAGAAGAGTGTGTGTGAGAGAGAGGGTGAGACAGCGAGAGAAGAGAAATAAAAGGAAGAGAGAAGAAAAGACCAGAGAGGATTGAAAGAAATAAGAGTGAAAGACAGGAAAGAGAAAGGAATATAGGGAAACAGAATGAAAAGTCAGTAGGTTTCCACTGAAATACTGTCTATCCTATCATATACTACATTCTGCCAAAACTTCTGACCCCAAAACCTAATGCCTGACACCACCGTTTCAGCTCAGCCTGTCTTCAGCTTTCTTATAGATGTCATTATCTACATGCATATAGATATTTCTGACTTTGCTTCAAAAATATCTTGAAGTATTTTATAATCAAACACAATTTTATGAATCTCTTAACTACATTGTGCTTTTCTACTGACTTTTACATTCTCTGTCCTTATTACTTCAAAAAGGATAACAGGTCTCGAAAATATAAGTGGTTCATAAAAATTGTCATAATGGTTTATACCAGTGTGTTGAGTCTTCTGGAATTTAAATTAATTAATTCACACTCACATGCAAAAAAAATCATGACTTGGTATGCATATTTTTACATATAATATGTATTTTATGACCAAGAAAAAGACACAGGTAAATACAAATGTCTGGCTTTACATATGAAAATTATTTTTTTTAATATTTCAAAATCTAAATCTTTGTCCCAAAGCTGTATGGCTTCAATTAAATTAATAACCATTTTGCGTAGAATCTTACAGATTTTATAATCTCTTTCCAATTAAGAGAAATCCAAGTCTGTACTATGTTATTCAATATATTGAATATATTGAATATTGTATAGATAGCCAGAAAATTGAAAATTTTACACATAAAAAGATTATTAATGACTATGTTGAATGATTAATTTAGTTCATCACATTTTATAACTAGTGGTTGGCACAATTTGATTTAAATATTCTATAACTAACTAAGCAATTTATTTTATCTGACTTTATTTCTACTGTAATCATTTTTCCACACCATTGGTTTATGCTTTTTACACATTTGCCCCTCTGTAGATGTTG